TGCTGAACCCTATGCTGCTCATTGCATCTGAACATAGCTGGAGGTCAGGCAAAAAGTGGCAGGTCATGCACTAGAGGCACATGCTACTGTGATATTTAAGGTAGGGATGTTAAGGATTAGTCGACTAGTCGATTCCCCCCCTTGCTGTGTCTATCAGATAGAGGCAGCAAAGGGGGGTACTTCAAAGGGGCAGTTCTGCACAGCTGATCCCAGGCTCAGCTAATCCCAGGCTCAGCTGTGCGGCACTGCTCTTTTGAAACACCTTAGGATACATATGCTTTATATCTCATTACAGTATAATAAAGGTGCTGTTACAAAAAGTGTGTGTTGAGTCCTTACAACATGCTCTTTCTTAGAAAGTTAGAAAACAGGTAGGTTGGGGGGGGGGAGTGTATAAAGTTTAGAATTTAAAATGTAACATTATATTTTAACTTTTTGGTTCTAAATAGGTATATCTCCATAAGTAGATATGGACTGATGGTGGGAAATGTACTGAGTCTATCATTCACTGAGGCCATGTACACTACAGAGTTTTTTCAGAAAAACGGACTTTTTCTGAAAAGAACTTCACTTACGTCCACACTGCAATTGCATTCTTTTACACAAAAAAAAAAAAAAAAAAAAAAGGAAAGAACAGAGGTTTTTTTCCAACATTGGTAACCCTCTTTTTACGAGGAAGAAGCCATTTTCTGAAAGAGCTCTTTCAGAAAAAGGTGTGTGTGGATGGAGAAGAGGGAGTTCTTTTGAAAGAAGAAGAAAGAGCAAAAAAGCTCAGGTGCCCTGGTGGCCACTACGTCCATAGTAATCACAGTTTAAATGCGTGATAATGTCCACACTGAATGGACACTATCTTTTGAAAAAACAGATCGCTTTTTCAATCCGATTTGGCAGTGTGAATGAGCTCTTTTGGAAGAAGTTTTTTTTGGAAGATCTCTTCCAGAAAAGCTTCTTCTGAAAGAAGCCTGCCGTTTAGACATAGGTTGACATGATCTGACCAGATCTTTTCAAGATGAAGTCAATATTTGTGTGGCTGGAGTGATAACTCAGACAATTGTTTTGCTGACACAGCCTTCTGAATGCAGCAGATCTGGGAGCAATTATTCTTGTCTGTTTCATAGCAATTGGACATCTAGTTCATTTTATTTCCTTCTTCCAGTTTGTTCTTGCTGTTCCTCCCTGGTCATGCTAAAATCAGAATAAAGAGCCCATAGCACACTATATATAGGGACAGATTCTCCTTTCACACTAGTGTATGTTAATAAAGCAACAACTCATTTTATAAAACACAAGGATAATGGTGAGCAATTCTCTTACCTTTTGAAGCATTGCATTGCCTTGGTGAGCATTAACGTTGTGTTGGCTGATTTCCCTTTTGTACTGATATTCGTATACTTGATTTGTTATATTAACAAGTAGAGTGGGTAGGCCAAACTTCAGCTTCTCACAAGCATAGACAGTTCCACTTTCAAGGTCTGTTGGTGTTGTTGCATATCGTATAATTAGTCCCATTAGGAGACCTGAAGATTAGAAATTCAAGAAGTTAAAATACAGTAAGTGTCTGATACAGCACGGATTGTAGACTCAGAGAAGATAAGAATGCACCATTTCATAATGTACCCAACCCGCCAGCATCGTGGTGCCCCTTCACTAACGACAGTTCCACTTTCAAGGTCTGTTGGTGTTGTTGCATATCGTATAATTAGTCCCATTAGGAGACCTGAAGATTAGAAATTCAAGAAGTTAAAATACAGTAAGTGTCTGATACAGCACGGATTGTAGACTCAGAGAAGATAAGAATGCACCATTTCATAATGTACCCAACCCGCCAGCATCGTGGTGCCCCTTCACTAACATGAATATGGAACAATGAAGAACATGGCAATTTCTGATGAATACAGGGCTGGACATGAGGGTATTTCATGTACTTGGAACAGATCATACTTCTGTGATCCAGGGATTGAGGTCATTCTGATGTTTTTACTAACCAAGTTGCTCAGCCACTGATTACCTAATAACAGTACATGTAGTGAGTACGTATTTCGAGGGGAAGAATAACTAAAACACTATACTGGGAGTCAAGAGATAATGTTATTTTCTCAGCAACTCTGCAGACCTCCTGTGTTTCGCTGAGCAGTATCACTCTGCCCCAGGACACATTCTGCATATTGTAAGGGGCTAGTCTCAGCTATGGGGATATATATGTCATCAATAAATAATAAATGGAACAATAAAAATTGAATGAAAGGAAAGAAGGATGCTGTTGTGATTGAGGCACAGCAACTTGATTTAGTTCCTGACTATATTTACACGAGGTTGGGATCTATGTTTAAGCTGCAGCTCACATGCATACATACACCTTTGCTAGCTGTGCGCTAATGACCTTGCTAAAAATAGCAGTGAGGACACGATGAGACAGGCTTCAGCATGGGCTGCGCAAGCAAACACATGCTCAAGGGAGTCAGGCAGACTAGTGCAGCCTGTGTTGTCATGTCCTCAAGCAAGCTAAGTTGATTAGACATGCTCATGTGAGTTAGAACCACGCTGCAAATCACCCATCCAACTGCAGTGTAGACATAAAGCATGCTGCTGACTTCCTGTGGGACGTTGGGCAAAGTTACCAACAGTGTCCTTCAGATGGAGAAAATAATGCTTTCAGGTTTTCCATAGGGACTGTGAGGATTCGTGCTGATCAATGGCCTCATTTCATTAATTGATCAGATGTAGATAATTTAGTTCAACTGGTTTATTGAATGTAGAGAAATCAGCACAAGCGGAAAAAGGGTTAATATTTTAAAAGGTCCTGAGAAGCAATTTTCGCAGTAGTTTTCAGCGTGTCTGCTCCAAAGTGCATGCTTAATTCCGTTCATATTTAGAATATGTCTACACTTAAACCTTGGCAGCAGTGCAGCTGAAGCTGTGCCACTGCAGAAGCCACTTACTACCTCAATGTGAGGTGGGGGAGGCTCTTTCCTCACTGTCGTTATTCCACACCCCTAAAAGGAGGTAGGTAGTTCAATGCAGAATTTTTCTTTTGACTCAGGGATATTTACACTGAAAGGCTAGGTTGGTTTAACTACATTGTACCCTTGAATTATGTAGTTGATTCAACTTAACTTTTTAGCATAGACCTGGCCTGATAGGTCCCTTATTTGTGACAGCAAAAAGACTAATACCTCTTTTTCCCTTTTTTCCTTACCTGGATTTTATTCGTTAGGTTATAAGACATCTGTGCCAACCACACACAAAATTATTCCAAATGTTTATAAATCATAAAGTACAAATAATATTAGTCCATGAAAACCTATTTCCTAGCACACAGTTCCTACTAGGCAAAGATTAAACATGGTACTTTTGACAAATAGACTAGATGAGGCACAAAACCAACAACTTAACTACTCATAAAACCTAAAACTGCACAATAAAACCTAATCCTGAGGATAAAATATTTCAAGACACATCTATAGCGTAAATCCAAAATCACCCTGGGAATTTTCGGTTCTTAGCTTATCATAAGCCTTCTAGTTCATTTTACAATATTGACTAATTGTATAAATCCATAAATACTTGGGAAATGCTCAAATACAACAGTGATGGAGAGCACTAAGTACCTAGATTTTTTTTGGAGCCATTTGGAAAATATGAATGAAATTTTATCTCAGAGGAATCAGAAAATTGGGAGTTGATACTGAAGTTTCATTTAATAATCAGATACTAGGATGATGAGAGTGGTATAAATGCCTCAACAGGAAGACAGAACAACCTTGCCGAGTTCTCTAAAGAGTGGTTGCCTCTAGCCTATCAGACCATATGTAGTTTTAGTTCTATGAAGTGATGCAAAGCTGGTGTATTAGCAATAATGCTGACTACAGTGTTAAGGAGGGATGTTTTCTTTAAATCCCTCAGGATTCAGACCGCCAAGTAAAAGCCAAAGTTTGCTTCCTGAGGTTCCATGAAATGTGCATAATAAATCTGGTAATAAATCTAGCTGTAGTAAGAAGTGGTATACTGACTTCCTGCAAACTCCTGGGAGAGGAAAATGAAAGGGGAAGAGAAGCAGGTACTAAATGTTCTAATGCAAAATATTAATACCATGATGACCAACCCCAAGAGTTCAAAAGCGAGGAGTCAGACATCAGAAAGCCATGAGAATTAATTGATATAAAAAGTTTGGGGTTTTCAGTCTGACTTCAGATTATTTAACCTTTAGGGGAAATGTCTATCCTACAAAATATTATTAGAGATTGAAAATTCAACTTTACATGCACTCAAAATGCACTTGCAAAAATGTGAACATTCCCACTGGGTGCTTGGAAGGGATGTCACTCACCCTCTCTGAGCCCTTGAGGGGAGAACTTCCCTCTCCATTTCTTTCCCTCTGTCCCAAGCTCTCAGACCCTTCTCTCAATCCACAGATCTTATCTGCTGTCAGTCTCAGCTCTTCTATTGCTCCCCTGCCTGTGAATTCTCCTTCTCTGTCCCCTCCGTCTTCTGCCAGGCCACATTTTCCCTTTCAGTTCATCCACCAAAGGCTACCCGCCTGGTCCTCATTTCCTGTCCCCATAGCGGGCTTGTCTGTTCCCTCACCCTCCTTTCTTCCCCCTCTACATTCTCCTTTTCTTCCATATTCACTGGCTCCCTCACTTGTCCTTCAATATTAAATTTACTCCATACAGTGTTCCTGATTAGCTTCACAATTCTCTTGCCTCCATTTTAGCCCCCTCTTCCATAATCCTGCTCAGCTCCCCACCCTTCAGTACCTGCCCAGGCTCCCCCACACTATTTCTCCCTGCTTTCTGAGAGCACATAGGGCAGCCATCTTCCTTGAGTGAACCAGGCTTCTCTCCTACTGAAACAATGGGAAATGGTGGCCATCTTTACTAGGAGAGATCTCACTAACACCTGCAAAGGAGGTAAGGAAATGACTGTCACTTTAATTGAGGGGATCCCAATATTGCCAGTCCTGAGCATTTAAAAATCATGAGGTGGGTCACTAAAAGAATCAGAAGAAAGAATATTTAAGCCAGATAATTTTTAAAAGTACATTTTGGATTCTTTAACCTTCTGGTTTGAGTCTTCTGGGTTCATTTAGGTCACATTTTCAAACTTTTCTTCATAAACATTAAGGCTAGAATCCTTTTTCCTTTTTTTCTTTTCTTTTTTTTTAAACGGTGAAAGATGAGATTCCTTCCAAAGGACTTGCCTTCAAGAGTAGATGTTTTACAGAAAACACTCAATATCATTTCACTCATGACAAAATGATAAAAGCTGGCAAACCTGGGAGCCTGATGGTCTATATTTTGCCTACATAGCCTCTGTGCTGCCATTGAGTAGCTCACTGCTTCATGAAACATTGTGAGGAATCTAGTATGTATTCCAGTAAAAAAATTTACCTGTTGTTGCTCGGGCCCATAACTCAAATAAATTTTGTTTTTCTTCATTTAAATCATTGCTCTGAGGTGGGGCTGGAGACAAAGGTTTCAGTATGCAGGCTGCCACAGGGTCAGAGGACAATCCCATCCCTCTCTCACCCCAGCAGCTTGTGGCCAAGTGAGACGCACCTGTCCATGGCTGCTGCAGCTGCAGTGAGCATAGCCAGGGAAGAGGTGTATGTTCTTCAGCTGGGGGACAGACAGACACATGGACAAACTCCCTGAAATGTATAGGTGATAGCCGTCCCTTTCTCCACTTCTGCTGGCCCAATGGGGTTATGGCTGTCTCTGTCCTCATCTCTGGCCCCTTGCTCCCCCCCGGTGGTCAGTCTCTGTCCTCATCTCTGGCCCCTTGCACCCCCCTTGCTTCTACAGCATAGTTCCATCCTATCAGCCCCCTCCTTTTCCATTTTATGAGAAACAATTAAATTCTAGGCTTGGGATGTAAGTGGTTAACCGATAAGCCTTGTCCTTAATGGATGAGGCGAACATACTAGTTCTGGTAAACTGGTAGTGGATGGAACAGCTTCCTGTATGCCCTGGCCTGTGGTGGGCCCAGTGCAGGTGGCGGTGCCAACCAACTGGCTGGAACAGCTCCTGTCCATGGTGGGCCTGCCTGCCTTCTTCCCCCTCCCAGTTACATATTGGCTCCCAGGGCAGCTTCACTGTGGGCTCTGCAGTATAAAGCTCATTTCAGCTTTATACTGAAGAGCCCGCAGTGCATGTAACCATGTAACTGCTAGGATTTTTAGCAGTAAAACAGCTACATTTTAAAGTGACTTTTTACATCCCTATTCCAGGCACATCCCATTGTCTTGGCACAATCAAACGCTTCCCTTGTTTTAAGTTGTAAGAGGAAGCTGCATCGCAGTTTGGTGGTCCTTGCTTTTACCATTTAGGAGGTGTTCTTGAACAAATGCACTCACAGTCAGATGGACAGACAGACACACATTTCTAAAATATATAGGAAGAGAAGAAATAGAAAACCAAGTTCTGGTTACTGTTTTAAATACATACAGTCTGTCAGGGAAGTCTGCGATCAGGCTACCTGGAAAAGCGTCCGTAAGGGAGAATGGGCCAACTCAGATCCACCTAGACGTAACTGAATTCCTAGTCAGTTAGTTGGCAGCTCGTTAGCTGGGCTACCAGGACTTAGGCAGTGTGGCTCCTAGAGACAGAAAGCTTGTGAGGAGAGGAGCTTCCAGGACAGCTCATTAGGTATGCTCCTAGGGACAGGGACAGGGACTCCTCTGCCTTGCAATGATGGTAGGAAGCCCAGACTCTCAGG